GACAGAACACTCTAATAATTCGGAATCCTTCATAATCCTTCACCTTCATCGAAAAGTAATACGTCATGGGTAATCGAGCGAGATCGATCCTAGGAACCCTAGTAGGATACATATCGGGTCTAGTCATTAAAACTACGCGTTAAGGCTCGAAGCGCCGAAATTGGCCGAATCTCCTCATCGCGCGATCATTATGCTTCTCCATCGCTTACAACGTTCGTAATTCGTAAATAACAGTGCCGGTGAGAGCGCTGTGGCTCCGCGGGCGTTTAGCATATTTTATAGAGAAAAGAAACGGAAGGAAAGAAAAGAAAAGATAGAACGCTGTTGGATGCGAGAGGGACGGAAATTAAATTCGGTAAGATGGATGCAGATGGGATTTCATTTTATTTTGACATAAATTATTTGTGTTTGTGCCATCGCAATCTGCAAGATTATTTTGGGATAATAGTAAATACGTGAATTGATTTTTAAAATTATAATTAAGAAATTGTGTATATAATAAATTTAATATAACAAAAATATATTATTATAACAGAGAACTTTACTTTTATATATAATATGAGGCATAATTATGAAATAGCATAAATTTATCATCTTAATAATGTAAGAGAAGTTCCACAAAAATTTTTGAAACGAGTTACACAAAAATTCAAGAGTTGCTTTATACAAATTTTTATAATTTTAATTTTTAGTCTGAAATATATTTCATAATTTCTTTATTGGAGTACTTCTTGTATAAAAGTTAGAAAATGAATTGATTGATCGAGTGATTCGGAAAAATTACAGCGATGCATTTCTAGGACTTTTATCTCCGTTCTGGCTTTGTCACGTTTAGAAACGCGCGTCAATCCATCATCTAAAAGAGAGGCAAAAACATCCGTTTCGCTCGTGCACTTCGTCTTTTCAGTGAGAGGACCGTCCTCTGTGCGCGACCATATGGTTGCCGACGGCGCAGGTCATTATTTTCTAGCAGGATCTCCAAATGGAGGTCCAGAGGGAATGGGAGGGAGAAGGGAAGAACATGGAAAGGGGCGATTGAGCCCACCACCAAATTGCCTGAAAATTGCTCGGCGCGTTTCGCTCGCCTTTTCGTTTTTCAGAGATAATTTTATGATTCAGGATTTTTAATTTGAATTTCAATACGGTGAGAGAGGGAGGGAGTGCACACGATCCTTCGTTTTCGTGTCTCGTTTCTTTCCGAAATAAAACGTGATACCAGCCGTCGCGATAAAAATATTTTTTCGGTCGATTTTAGTATCTATTTGAAATAAATTAGTTACCAAAAAATTTCTTTTCAGCAGATTAATAAATAGCTACAAATTTTGATCAACTGTCGTAAAGCCTGTTTTCGTCAAAAATAGGATACATATAGATTGAATTATACATACATTTATTAATACTGGATAATAAAAAAAAGTTTTCAGTATTTTTGGAGTACTGAAATAGGAAAACGATCAATTTATTTTGATGTATACGTAAACAAGAAAGGCATTTATACGTTTTCTCGCTTCTGATAATTGTGTAATAATTGATTCTGATAATTGATGTAATTGATTCTAATAATTGATATGTGTGTGTGTGTGTGTGGATAATTCAATATGCTTGAAATGTGAAATAACAGAAATAACAGCCTTAAATGATACAATACTATTATAGCAGATATATCTATAACATATCACGTGTGGTAGATAATTTTTTTGCCCGGTAAACTTTACACTCTACTTCGACGTGACAGTTATATGATGCATCGATGGCACATTCAGAATTTAATGTATCACTTTTTATTGGAACATTAAAGACGCACCGCGGTTAAGATCATGCCGCTAGTCATGCGAGGGAAGACTTAAAATATCAAGGAGAGTCGTATACATACATACATAATTATGACAGGGTTTTATAAGTGCATTATTGTGTATACACACTTTTTTGTTACTTAAAAAAGCGATTTTGAAACTCTAAACAGCCACTTCCTTCGCTCTCGAGAGATCTTAAAGAATTCTTGGCATATCACTTCTCTCCGAGATGCAACTCCCTGTGCACGAATCTCCTCTCTCTCTCTCT